CGTGCGTGCGTGCGTGCGTGCGTGCGTGCGTGCGTACGTGTGTGTGTGTGTGTGTGCGTGCGCGCTTATTTAAATGTACAGTGCACTTTTGAAAATTTTGATTCAAATTGGGGTTTGAATCAGTTTTTGGACCATAAAATATGGCAAACTGTACAATTTGACAATTTTAATGTAACAAACGAACAAATCACGTTTATATACCTAAACACAGCGTTTGAAATACATAAATACTACTCGCTAGCGGGATAAAATATTTACGATTATTTGCACTCGTAAACCCTGCGCGGGTATTCTCACCCCGGTAACAAAATGTATATCTCTGTTCTCAGACGGGCAGTTTTCGGTGTTACACAAAACAATAACACGGCGGTTCAAAAAATGACTTGGAACGCTTACGGCTTGCGTCTGATAGACTTCGTGTGGTTAGTTTTGTCTGTTTCTTTCTTCGCGGCGCTGTGGGGACACAAGATAGCAAAGCGCTTGCCCTCGAAATATCAAACGTGTTGTCTGAACGTCCTCTTCCAGGATCTGGTTCGTTACGGAAAAACTAAACAGAATTTCAAACGCAATGACTGGTTGCGCGCATTTGACGTTCCGAAAAGGTAAACCCTTTTTTCCACACATTTTAAAATTACGGATATTCATATCAAGTCATTTTAAGTCGTTTTATTTGGTCATTTAGGTGGTTTTGGCACTTCTACGCCACTTCGCTCGTTTGGAATGGTCTTCTGTTGGCTTTCAGCCTGAATGTGGCTCTACGGCAACATTTGTATCCCAAATGGCTCTCAGGCTTAATTAATGTTTTTTCTGGGTCATCACAAGCAGAGCAACAAGGTAGACTCATTAAATACTCTCCTTCCGATTTTGCATGCAACTTCCAGTGTGCAGCTTTATGGATACGATATGATATGGTATGCTTTGAATCATTGAGCATTTCCTATAGATGCATAGGATATAATTTTATATCTTTTTAGATCATGAGCAGTTCCTGTAGATGTACAGATAGCGCGTGAAGTATGCTTTGGATCATCTTGTATGTTGTTGCTTGCTCACATAGATCCACATGTGAGCACGGTGCTGCTGCAGCTGCTGCTGTTGTCACACTCTCTCCGGAGGCTTGCGGAGTGTCTCTGCGTTAGTGTCTTTTCCGACGGTGTCATCCACCTGCTGCAGTATGTCTTCGGCCTGGCCTACTACCTCCTGCTGGGGTTCACCGCGCTCTGCTCGGACCGCCAAACAAAAGGTCAAATTGATCCCCTGAAATTCCACCCATTGATGTTCTGCTTGATGTTCACGTAGGTTGTGATCTCTGCTTTGGTGATTTTTAGCAAGTGGACCTCTGTTGTCACAACTGGAGTGGTGTCATGTTGCTGGAATTGCACTTTTTATTCCGGCCTCTTTGCTGCAGCATCAATCCATGGTGCTTCTGGCTGGTCTCCGTATTGGAAAGTCAGGTGGGCTTGTCTCAGGTTTTTGTGAAGTGTTTTTTTTTTTTTTTTTTTTGATAAGACCAAAAAAAAACTATATATTATTGTAATTTATGAAAACACACAGTAATGACATAAATAGTATGCAAAGAGCTAAATACTTTTTGCCACATTTGCTTCAATAGATATTGTGTTGCCACTTCTAGTGCGCACGCCTTGGCCACATGGGGGCAGTAAAATACATGCAGGTTATACGTGGAGATGGTCACAACTCAGAAAGCTTCAATCATATTTGTCTTTGATTTGAAAATTATGTTAGACCTATATTTAATTGAATGCACCACAGGTACAAGAAATTAATGTTCAAATTGCTAAACTTGCTGTTTGTGTGCTCAGCCCAAAGCAATTAAAATATTACTTTGGCGCCATCTGGTGGAACCTTGTTAAGTTTCATTTCATTGGTTGTCTTTGTCCGCTTTGGAGACGTCCAATTTTGTTGGCGGTCCTTCAATGGTCCTTGTGCAAGGTAAAAAATGAAGATGAAAATGTTTATGCTTCTCTCAAAGGTCGCTACTCAAAGTTTCGATTTACTTTGCCACTACAATTTGCCTTTACTTGTGAACAATTATTGTGTGTAAATACCAAAAGGTAATGACTTATTACCGTTTGTGTGAAGTGCCAGTGCTGTTTACCCATGTGTGATGTCACTTGAGTGTGCTTGCTTAAAACTAATAGCCTCGTGAACGTTGGTTACTTGTGTTTTATTGGTACAGGAAGGGTAGAGACATTGACTCATCGGATGCCAAAGGGCGGCTGCTTTGAGCTGGTGTCGTGCCCCCACTACTTAGCCGAGCTGCTCATCTACGTCTCGCTGAGTTTGGTGGCCGGCAGTCTTTCGCTCACCTGGTGGCTGGTCGTCCTATACGTGCTCTTCAACCAGGCGCTGGCTGCCCTGCTCTGCCACGAACACTACATCGACAAATACCCATCCTACCCGGCGCGCAGAAAAGCATTTATACCTTTTGTGATGTGATCGTGGTAACCGGTGTGTATACTGTATTTTATTTGATCTATCTATCTATTTATCTATTGGGTAAGACATGATGTGCTATATTTTGCATCACGAAAAGTCCTTTTGATATATGTTTGACATACAGTAATGTGCAATGCCATTCAATCATGACCTTTTCCTTCCGATAGCTGGTTGACAGATGGTGTGGTATGCTTATCATGAGCTAATTTTGAAAATACAGCATTTGCAGATTTTTTTTTTCAATCCAGCTCTTGTTTTTGGTATACCTAATGAAGTGTCCCTCGCCGATCTATTTTAAAACTTCCAAACAAGCGGACAATGCAGTGCAAGGGTTTTCATTTCCTTGTTTTTTGGTTGGCGCTTAAGATCATCCAATCAGTGAGCGGTCAGCCTAGTTAGAACCGCCTCTTTCGTGCGTCACATTTAGACTGACCAATCACAGCGGCCGCCTGTCTACATGCGACAGTAAGAAGAGAACAACTTCCTACGGAGTCCGTCGGGTTGTGGCATCGACTAAAATGACGGCTTAAAGATGAAGTTGCTTTTTTTGGCTGCGACCCTTGGACTTTAGTTATTCCCCACAGGGTTGAAGAGACGCGAGCGGGCGGTAAAGGAGCCATAAAACAAAAATACGATCAAGAATGCCTCTCGGGGTCTGCGGTGGAGATGGACGGGCTGCTGGGAGCTTCTTTCTCCTGCTCGCCGTGTCGCTCTTCTTCGTGGTGCTGGTCGGAGTCGAAGCTCTTCCCGAGGACGCTAACCCCGTCAAGGACCAAGTTGCCATCGAGGTAACTTATTAACACAAATAATTATTTAACTACGGTGAAGAAACATGTTTTAAGCGACGTTTCTAGCGTTAGCGTCCCCGCGTAGCTGCTACATGCTAACTGAGACGTGTCATAGGGGGCTCGGTTAGCTAGCCATAACATGTAGAGTAGTTTTCATTGGACAATAAGTCGCACTACATAAATATATCACTGGAGAAGTAAATATTTGAGTTAAAACATGAATTGCATTTGATGTTGACATACGAGCGAGTTCCATGCATTTTTTTCCCACACGACATGAATTACACCCGTCGAAAGTAATGCAATTCACTGCAGTAATCCTTCGCAAATTCGACAAAAATAATCTCCATTTGCAGTTTTTGTGCTCTTTCTGAAACGCCCTTTGTTGCAGTCAAAGCCCTGTTTAAATAGTTAAGTGGTGCAGTAATTGCCGAGTACAATTGTATTTGGAAATGATCCTTTGACAATAAAAGTTGTACAGTACTTGACTTCGTAATATTCTAAAATGCTTCTCTATTTGCTGTTTTTGTACTTAAGACAGGGCTTCTCAATAATTTTTGCTACAATCTCAAGGAAGTAGAAAATATTTCATGCTCCGCAACTCTCACACATCCCCAGTGTATTTCTTTGGAGTCAACTCAGCCATTTATTTGTGAGGTTATTTTTCACACTGATAATTCTTTACAGAAAAAAAACAGTGACCCTCCATTGGTGCCGGTGGTGAAAGAGGATGAGCCCATCAAAGGGGACCTTGGATTCATCCATGCTTTCGTTGCCTCCATTTCCGTCATCATCGTGTCCGAGCTGGGTGACAAGACCTTCTTCATCGCCGCCATTATGGCCATGCGGTACAACCGGCTCACCGTGCTGGCTGGCGCCATGCTGGCTCTGGGGCTTATGACATGCTTGTCTGGTGAGTTATGTTGCGGAACTTCTAATCGGGGGTGTCAAGCTCATTTTCAGTGAGGACCACTTCGTAGTTTCCCTCAGAGGGTTGTGATAATTATACGCAGTGAACCATAACCGGCGAGCATCAACATCAGACATATAGCATGTACACAAACATTCACCTATGATACATAAAAGATTGTATTGAGTAGTTAAATTATTCAACTCCATGTGCAACGGTCTTTCATCTAAAACAAAGGTTTTGGTGACTTTATGTTTGATGATGACAAGGCTGTTGTGGCAGAATAAACTCTATACGGCAGACTAATTTCTTCCTCTTGTCCTTCACCCGCCACAGTGCTGTTTGGCTACGCCACCACCATCATCCCCAGAATTTACACCTACTATGTGTCCACCGGCCTCTTTGCTATTTTTGGTGTGCGCATGCTGCGCGAGGGCCTCAAAATGAGTCCTGATGAGGGCCAGGAGGAGCTGGAGGAGGTGCAGGCTGAGATTAAGAAGAAGGACGAAGAGGTGTGAGTCCAAAAGCTGTGGTCTTCCAATTTATTTAGCTTTTTATAACCCAGTGTCATATAATTTTTTTACATCTCAACAGTCTGAGGTGATAATCCAGACCCCATAAAAGATGCATGTCACAGCTCAGTGTGGTGCCGTCTTCCCTTCGCACATTATCGTGCGCTTGGGTTTGGCCAAGTGGGCCAGCAGATATAGCTGTGTTGAAACTAAGTGGCATCAAAATGTTAGGAGACTGCTGCTACTTTTCCCCCCTAAAATGACACTCCTCAACCCGTTTCAACAAAGTTCCATGGCACCAAGCTGACGAAGGTGGCAAAGCACTACTTTTCTCAGTGAAGTTTCTCAACTCACGTCAACATAGTTCCATGGCACTAAGATACCAAAGGGCTTCAGCCCAAGCACAAAAACAATGAATTGTGAGTTGTTCAGCAAATATTGGAGGATAGAATCACCCCAAAAATGCAAATAGGTGAATCTGCCAATAAGCGGGATAACAACTGAACATCTCTCTCTTTATTGGTTCTTGCTCAGCTGCAACGTTCCAAAATGGCCAATGGCGTGCCGGATGTTGAGGCAGGGTCCGGCTCAACTTTGCCGCCGTCATCGTCCAGGTGGCACAGCATCATCTCGCCCATCTTCATCCAAGCGCTCACACTCACCTTCCTCGCCGAGTGGGGCGACCGCTCCCAGCTCACCACCATCATCCTGGCTGCCCGCGAGGTTCGGCATGTAACACAGCACACTTTTTGTCATGGCTCGTCTACAAATAGTTGGGTCTTTGGAGGCGCCAAGTCTAAAATGTGCTTTGCAATAATATATTCCATGCGCGCTCACTTATTCCGATGAGTATTGGGTTGTCGGAATAAGAATTAAGCAAATCTGTGATCTTTTTTTTATCTCTTAACACTTAGCCACACCATCACTCACAGTTCATAATGAAACAATTGAAAAAGTGTCTTCATACAAATATCATGGCTTCGCAATTGACCATAAACTCACATTTCAAAGGAATACATTTTCTCGAAGTGCCAACAGCGTCTCTTCATCCTCCGTAAACTCTGCATAAACTTCAGGTTCACCAATCCAGCCTCACTGCCTTCTTTGAATGGTTCATTCATTCCTGGTTTGGATCACTGACTCTCAGCAAATCGAAACTAGCTGAATAAAATCATTCATATCCGCCGTGAAATTATAGGTCAAGAGCAGCAGTTGCGTACTAGCAGAATATTAATACAATACAATACATCCTGATTTATATAGCGCTTTCACAACAGCTGCAACAAAGCCCTTAACAAAACAGTTAACATAAAGTAAAATAATACACTTAGCACATAACAGAAAAACACGGACAGTCGTGCAATCTTAACCACTTTCCCCTCACACGCTTTGTTGTTTGAAGCAGTTCGAGATGAAAGAGGATAGAATCAAATTGTCCTTTCACCAGTGGATCAGAGACGTCATGCTCAAAATATGCACACGTCGGCTACAAGCTAAATTTCAAAGTAAACAAGAAGCTGTATTGACGAAAAAAAGAGATTCGTTCGCTTCTCCATTAAAATATACAAATACAAAACAAGAACAATTTAAGGGCAAAGTACAACATGAAAAGGTAAATACATTTCATACGTTAAAAAATATATATTTTTTAAGACATTTAAAACCAAAGCAGAGACAGAAAAAGTAGTTAGTTACTAAAAGAATCTACAATGCAAGAACATGATTTTGGAAAAAAAATTCAAGAAATGCTCTTAAATCATAAGTTTGGTGGGGAAATAATTTTTAACCGGGATTTAAAAGCACTTCAAGTTGGAAGTAGCTTCAGTTCCATTTTAAATTTGCTTGCAGCATAACACCAAAATGCTGATGCACCATGTTTGCTTTGAACTCTATCGTGATGAAATCGTGTCACAGATGTGTTAAGAGACAAGGAAAAAAAAATACTGCGTCATGTCTCCTTTTCAAATCCAAACCAGGATCCATTTGGCGTGGCTGTGGGCGGCACGCTGGGACACTGCTTGTGTACGGGCCTGGCTGTGATCGGCGGGCGGATGATTGCCCAGAAAATCTCTGTCAGAACAGGTGAGTCCACTTTAGGGGGGGAAATGAATTGAGTTCAAATACAATGGCAGCAGGGCGGACCAGTGGTTAGCATGTCGTCTTCACGCTTGTGAGGTTCAGGGTTCGAATCTCACTGCTCTTCGTCTCATTTTTCAGTCACAATCATCGGCGGGATCGTCTTTCTGGCGTTTGCCTTTTCCGCTCTCTTCATCAAGCCCGACGCTGGACTGTGAGAGCGCCACTAAAGGACTCTTGAGTGTACATTATTCTTTCTGGTAGTCGCTGTAGAGAGATTGTACTGTGTTGACTGCGTGTCAGAAATCCCGGAGTCTCCTCTGCTGCGCCCGTCTAGGTCCGAGGTATTCTGGGAGTTGTCCGAAGGAAACGGACGTTACTGAACTTGAAGACAAGCATTTGATTCCTCACAGCTTTTTTTGGTGTTGATTTATTATTTTTTTTAATGTGTTACTCAACATGCGGCACGTCAGTAGCTTCTGTGGCGATCTTTTAATTCAGGAATACTTGTAATCAATTTCCTTTATTGGTTTGTCTTTTTTTTTTTCCTGCTGTAATGGGGCACAAATCCTTTATGGTCGCTGTCACTCCACAATGTTTTTTCGTCCACATTTTATTTATTTAGTTTCATGTTCTTTTAGGGAGGCATTGAGGAAGCGGTGGCCAGGAAATATTTTTGTAAATGTATGATGAGTCAGTCAGCTGTGAAATGTGTAAAATGCCGCGGTAACTGAATCATTTGATCGAATGCCTTTTAAAGTTTAATTGCTCAATAAAAAACAAATGTTTTCCTGTGCTGCGTGAGATGGTTAATTTTTGCACATTGCCCTGACAAACTCATCAACCTTTTTTTTTTTTTTTGCGTAGAATGTGGAATTATTGGGTAAGTGGCAATTTGCAATAAATAAAGTGAATGGGGGAAAATATTTTGTGTTCATGATTAACACTGACATTTTCAACCACTGTATGTGGACAACAGGTGGCATCACAGTTAAGCATTTCAGCAATAACTACCGGTACTTTTCTTCCTACAGGCACAATATCTGCACAATAAATTGCCACGCTATCAGTAAATTTTTAATATCCATAATGCAAATGTATATATTTACCCATTGTACTGTATTCTTAATTTGTTATGAAATTAATATTATCGATGTAACATTTAAATCATGTGTAAAAACAATTCAATATTTTAATAATATAAATCACTTAATTTGTACCCTATTTTTCACTTTTTGATGTGTTATACGTGACAAGTTGGTTGGTTGCACACCCATTGACCCACCACGGCACCTGGTCCAGGTGGTCCAACTAATGTCCCCGCCAACGCGATCCGTTTCTCCCGGCATGTTTGCGCCTTCTCCCCGCAGCGTGTGTCCAATTCCATCCAGCCGGGCTGCGTCGTACCCGGCAGCCAGCCAGCCAGGAGCTCCACCAAGCCGGTTAGGTGGGGACTGACAGACTGCCTTTCCATGGGGGGTAAGTGTAACACCGCTGGTCGCTTTGCTTCAGTGTCTGCATCACAGCCCGCAAGCCGGAACCGCGTCGCCTTGCCGGGCTTGGGCTCTTGCCAAAGGCCCGCTGACCCAAATTCTTATCTAACGCGGCGGTAGCTAAGCTAACAAGCAAGCCGGCTAGCCTCGGCTGAAAGTAGGTTGACGCTCGCTTCTCTGGAAATTGACGCGTCGCTCATTTTTAAATTCCCCCGTTTTACCGGGACGAGAAAACTACGAGTTTAATTTTTTTCAACGTCGCAGGAGAGCTACTCTGAAAAGTTCCCGTCCAATGTAACGGTAAGCGGTGACAACCTCGAGCGGTGTTGTTTTTCATGGAACTGCTGCGAAATAACCAGTGTTAGTTGGTTAGCATGCGGGCTAGGTGCCTTTAGCCTAGCGGTGATTCTCTGGTCAACGTTGCCGGCCGGCGCCACCTCTGACGCGGCTACGTGCGGGTCAAGGTGCCGTGCCAAGGGGCTCCACTCTCAGGGTCGCACCGTTAAATAACCCGCTGCTTCATTTGATTGATGTTTGACCTTTTTTTTTTTTTTTGTCATCCAACTGTGGAACTTAGGGTTTGATGAATGACTCATTTTCCACATTACAAAGCCGAAAGTTTATATTTTACAATGTTATATGGTTTGGTTAGATATGGATCAGAAGAATTCTCCATGAAAGCTGTACTAATTTTTATTTTCTAACTTTTGATACTGTATATTTTTGGCAGATCGTAAAATGCCATTTTAAGGCAAACAAGCAATGCAAAACTCCATAGACGGGCTAACAAATTCCCAAAGCAACTGATATTAAAACCCAAGCGGTGGAGCAATGCAAGTAGACAGATAATAGATCAACACTCGCAGCCACATATTAACTTATATTATCACTGGCAGCAATTGTGTCATAACTGGATGAACCAGATGTCTTTGTAATTGCAATTGTTCGGATTTCATTAACCTTTTCATTAGCCGGATTTGCCGTGTCAGCGTTTCGTAGTTGTAAGTCGGTAATTTTGAAATGAACACTTATCAGTGTCATCCACGTTTCAAGGGAAGGTAACCGCCGTATACACATACTGAATACAGCTGTGCCTTGAGATATGAGTTGTATGTGCTCATAACTCAAATCATCTTTTGCTAAAAGCTGCGAGTGTGAGGGTGGGCGGATGTTGATTTTTTTCATTAGGGTTTATTCAAGGTCGCAAACGGGCCCAGTGGGATATGGGCTTAAACAAACATTTTTTAAAAATAGATTGGATGGATTGGTCCATGATTTGATCGCTGATCCATTGTCAGATTTTCAATTCTCACCGATCAGTGATCGTCTCTGGAATCCTAACTCTGGAGAGCACAGGTGTCAAAATGAAGGCTTGGGGGCCAGATCAAACTTTTTTTTCCTGGTGAAAGACTCTCCTTTTTGTTTCGGTCGGGTTGGTGCTTCTATTATCACGAATAGAATATTGTATTGTTTTTGACAGATCAGTCAAAAGAAAAAGGGGGGGGGGGCGGTAACTCTCCGGTAATTTTGCAACCTTTACTCCTGACACAAGTGTCGCATAGTAGACGCGCAAGTGCTTCAAGTATAGACACAACACTTGGCTCACAAGCGTCACATGAGTCAGTATCAGCTCTGGCCTATCTCGACACAAGTAGTTCCTTCCCAACGCGCACGCAGGCAGGATAGACACATCTGGACCCTCGCCCAGCAGTTCACGCTACCTGCACGTAGGCACACATCCTGCTAAATTGCGACCTGGTTCATTCTCAATACAAAATGTATGCCGGTGAAAAAATGTTGAATGATTGAAACATGGTTGGGGTATTTTAAGTCTGAAAATATTCAACAATTTTGCTGAAATTCCATTAAAGGCCGCCATTTAAATTAAAAAAAAAAAGTTTTTGCAAGTATTTTCCATGTTCAAAAACATTAAAAATACGTTTCAAAGATGTGTGTTGAAAGCATGTGGGAAGTGGTGTTTTAAGGCTTAACCAATGAAGTGTTTTTATTTAATTTTTTTTCAATGGTCTGTATATGCTGGAGTTTTTCACTTTGGATTTTTTCCGGTGTGAAACACAACTCAGGATTTGCCTTACTGGTGCAGGTATTTCCCGGAATGATCTTTAGCGTAGCTGCAGTTCTTCGAAGCATGTCAATTAACAACCAGGGTCCATTCATCCTCTTCCACGAACAGATGCTCACGTTTACCTTTCTTGGAAGTGCCCGCTGAAGGGAGGCCCGCTTATGAATGAGCTGCCAGGATCTGTGTGTCTCTGAGTGTGTGCGCGCATGTGCGCTTGTTCTCATATTGCAGCCGTGCTGCCGGTGACACAGATGTTCTGATTGACCAGCATGAGCCCGTCGCCTGTGTTAAAAGTAGCCTTTCTCGTCTTTTCATCAGATAAAGACTTGACGTGAGATCTGCGCCGCCGCGCTAAGGTGCCGCAACGTGAGGAGGTCAAAGGTAAGCCTTATTTGATTTGAGTATCACATCAGTGCAAAGACTTTGGTCTTAACGTGAGTGAGCGCCTTCAAATGTTGTTCCACAGCCATTGTTTGCACGTGGGCCAGTGTTTGTCCCAGTGTTGTTGCTTGTTGCCATGGAGACTAAATTTAGTCACCTGAATGTATGATATTGGCAATATAACACACACACACACACAAACACACACACACACACACACACACACACACACTATACAGATTGAATTTCTGGATTCTTTAAAGACACGAAACAATGTCCCTGACTTTGAATGATCTGTTAATAGTCAGCATCTTTAGTATGAAATATTTCATCTTATTTTCCTTGCGTTATTTGACTCATATTGATTCTGAATTATTCCAGGTGAAGTCTGTTGCAATTTTAATTGTGATTAGGCTGGGACCAACTCGTTTCTGGCTTACCTGGTTTAGCGCCCATAGCATTTGCATGCCAGATGTTGCTCTCGTCTGGGGGATCAGACATGGGTCGTATTTGGAATCGGAGCGCCGCATGGTCTTTCCGTGGTTCACATTCGCAACAAGTACTGTCACTCTGAGACCCAACAACCCACTTTGGCACCAGCACGAGGCCCCTGGCTGGGTTCCTGACCCATCCGAGACACAAGGCCAAGGCTTCGCGGGGCGCCTGCCAACCAGCATCTTCACCACCACCACCACCACCACTACGACTGCTGCATTCCTGCCTCCTTGTTTGGAAGAAAAGTTGAAAAAAAAAAAAAAGAAGCCCTTTGTATTGCGAGGCCTGCGGCTCGGTGCACTCTGAGACTGGAAACCACTCTTCATCTGAGTTGGCTTTTGTTTTGTAGGTGCTGTGCCGGGCATTGTCATTTAGCGAGAGCAAGTAGCAAATTCCGATTTTAGAGGACTGTTGGTCTTAGTTCTTGTTTGTAAAAGCTAGCATTTTTACATTTTGATTTAAGGAGTAGATTTTATACTTGATTTATCGATTTTAAATTCATCCAAGCACTGAATTCCACGGTTAAGTTTTTATCTAAGGTTAGCTTAGCAATTAGCATTGCTATGCCGTCTTTCCTTGTCATCCCTTCGTGAGAACAACCCATGTGAGAATGATATCTTGTTCATGGCACGGAGGTGGTGATTACTGACTGAGGAGCGACTCAGCACCACGTTGAGTAGCCAGTCGAAGCTCGTTGCTAGCTAACAGGTGCGGCGTAAGTAGCACAGAACTTGACTTGCGAATGGCTGCGGTAGGTGATGTGAGCCATGCCCGTGCGCCTAGGTCAGCCAAGCGTTTTGGGACGGTCTCGGCAATTGATTCTCAATTTTACTATTCAATGTGTTTTGATGAGATGCAAAATGCTAATTTTGCCTTGCAAACTTGATGTGAACCCGCTTCGTTCAAGCCTTGAAATACCATAGCTCCGATGTGCCAGGATCACGCTCAGCCCATCGTTGATGGTCCCAGAATACCCAACCTGACCACCTCCTTCGTACGCTTTGGCAGCAGACGGCGTGCACTCGTGTTTTATTCGTGCTAAACTAAGCTGCGGCCTGCGTTTTGACAGCGGGGACCTTTTGAGTGATCACCAATGTTCCCATTTCGGGTGTCAGCCAATGACGCAGATGATGGAAAAGGGTGTTGCTATGACACCGGGGTTTACCTAACCACGTGTCTTCAGTAAAAGTGCATCAGTGATTTTGTTTTTATTTACCTGTACAATATTGTGATTGCTTGTGTAGACCTATTTTAACAGATTATTTTAATAAAAACGCTCAGTTGCGCATCGTCTACTCGAAACAAATGTAATGTCACTCACTGCTTGAAAAGAAAACAACACTCCATC